TCGCCCGCTCGGCAGCGCCAGCCCTGCCGCGGGCTCCGTGGGCCACGTCAGCTGCGCGTGTAGCGCTGAGCACGAGTCCTCTTGTCATTCCTCGAGCTGGCAGCTCCTGGGCTGCATCCTGCTGGGAAATGCCTTGTGTCGCGCTTCTCTTATTTAGGGGTACCGTGGGGATGCTTCCCTGCTGCCTGTGTGCATTTTCAGCAGGTATTTTCAGCTGACTGCTTTCTGTCTGTTGAAGGAAGGACAGAAGGGCTCTCAGGTATCTTCTGTGGGTAATGGACGAAGCTTAAGTTTCCTTATTCTTTGTCAGATGGGTCCTTTGAGGTCATGCAGTGGTTTGCTGAAAGGTTCAAGGTGTTAAAAGCAGCTTGAGGGCTCTTGCCACAGTTGCCCTGCTAGAACTTCTCTCCTGCTTTTAGTAGTAATAGTGGTAGTTTTTTCTATTCCTATGGGAGAATCTATATAAACCGAACAAAAAAAATGATGAACTGAAGGAAAGGAGGACTGTAACAAGGTCATGAGAATTGTTACGGCTGTGAAGTGAAAGAATAAAGGTACAATGTGAATGTGTGTGTGACGAGATACTGCCCTGGCTTGAGATGGAATGTGATCCTATTCCATCAGCTTGGATAAGCAGAATCGAAAGGAAATGTGTGCGTCTTCCCCATAATTTTTCTTCCATATGTGATATACTACAGATATTGTCTCAGTACAGCCACTTAAAAGCATTTTTACTTTTTTTTAAGCAATATCCAGTTATTCTTCAGGCTGGTGGCTCCCAGGCCGTGCTTTGAGGACTATTCATTGCATCAAATGCAGGCCCGTCGGGTGATGTTCTGTCTTCAGGTGTTGCTGCTGCTTATAAAGGCCTCCAGGATCCTTTTTACTTTCAAGAAAGAGGGAAGACCTATGTGGGGAACTTTAATAAGCACTTTTAAGACCATGCCTGGGATGAGATGAAGAGGAAGTGATTTTTTTTTCCCTGTACTGTAAACTCATTGTTATTACTTGTAGTTATTGGATGAACATTTCGGTAGCCTCAGGAGTCATGATGCAAATATCCTCTATTTTTAATTTTATTGCGAATCTTTTGGAATGCCTTTGGGGATGGAAAAATGAAGGAAGGAGTTTCTTGCATGTTAGTTAGTAGCCAGCAGGCTACAGAACATTTCCTAGTGCTGGCCCTGTAAAGGCAACAGGGTGTTTAATGCTGTTTGGCTTAAAAGTTCCTAAAATCAGAAGCTATTTCAGGATGTACCCGGCTGAGCTGCAGCATTAGGCTCTGCTCGCTTCAAATATTGCAGCATTCTGTGCTTTAAATCAAAGTGCTGGTACTTAATGTAACGTTTCCCTCTTTAATTAGAGCAGCCCTATCAGTATGCAGAGTGGACTGCTCATATATTACTCCAGCGGACAGCAGTCCTGCTAACGTACCGGGGTGCTGACTCAGATCTGTCCGCTGTCCTTGATTTGGCACCTTTGTCTTTCCTCAGTCTAGTGTTTTATGGCACTAAAGGCTGTGATTTAAGACTCAGCACCGTCATAAAAGAGATGACAGTAACAGCTGAGCTCTCTGTTAAAATTCTGTGTATTATTTATTTCAAACTATTTGGGTATATAACCGTTTTCCTGGAATTTTATTGCCTTTTATTGGAGGCCATTTCACGATTGCATTACTTTTCTCTCTGATTTTGTTTATGTGTCAGAAACTTGAAAATAAGGGAAATGCTTAGCTGTCATCTCCAGTGAGCTTTTCAGAAGATGCTGCTGGGTTTACGACTCTGCCTAGAAGAGGAGGAAGAGGCCCACACCTAGGCCTGTTTTTCTGGTTCTCCCTCTCCTTCCCGTGTGGCTTTGGACGCATCACTTGTCCTCTCTGTGCCTTGAGGCTTCGGTGGCAAGGGGAAGGCAGCAGCAGTGTTGGGGATGTGCAAGACCCAGGCTCAGAACCTGTTGCAATAAAACATAATTTGCCCTTCAAGTAGGGGGAGAACCCAGAGCTTTGCAGGCAGGGACCAGGCTGTGAGAGCTGCTCTGCCGGAAGGAGGTACCGGGATTTAAGTGAATGATGGGAGGTTCCAGCAAACTGGAAATCCAGTGCCATTGCCACGACAGGGCCTACGCTGTCCCTCGCAGGTGTAGGTTTAAGTAGATAATCCCATTTTTCTGTGACATGCCTTTCAAATATTCTAGAACATTATGCCACAAATCTGTTCTGGAAGTGGATATTTCAGCTTGCAATTTCCTGCTGTGCTGCGGTAGAGCTGAGCCTGTATTACCAGCATTATTCTTTCCTCGAGTTAAGAGGGGCAAATATTCCCCACTAGGCTTTCAGGTTTGGGACACTTTATGTCCCATTCCTCTGAACACAGTTCGTGTCTCCAAGCCATCTGCTGAAGCCACCAGTCCCCAGGTGGCTGCTTCGAACTGGGATTTCTGAGCTTCCCTCTTGGCCACAAATGGAGGCGCTTGCAGACACTTCCCATCCCAGTCTGCCTGGCTCATCTCTGGGCGTGATCCATCACCCTATAACTCCGAATGGAGAAGCAAGACTAGGGGAGTATTTAATGTGTTCTAGCTGGCTTTTTTTTTTTTTTTTTTTTTTTAATGCAGCTGATGGTGTGTAAAGGAGGAGAGCTGAACATCAAGTGACCAGGCAGCCCCTTGGAGACCATCAGTTATTACTTTGAGGGTGTAGAGTGCAAACCTCTGACTCGAAATAATGCTGTGGTCTCTTGTCTTTCTGCTGCCTGTGGAGAAAAACAGCTTTTGAGGCCCTGCACTGAAGCACCAGGAGTGCTGAATCCTTCACAAAATCTTGTATTTTCCCAGTATTTGTCATAAAGTTGCACTGGGATATTTAGCTCCTGTTTAACTTCCCATTTCCCTCAGTTGTCAGGCTCCCCTTTCCTCTGTTGTTAGGTTCCTATTCGTTTTTTGATGCATTAGGAAGTCTTGCAGCAAGAAGGAGATTAAGACCTTTATTTTCGTCTTTCCAACAAAAGAATTTTGACTATTTTTAATATTTCTTAAAACAGCAAACAGAGCACAATGCACTTTCTCTTGATGGATCAAGTTTAACTCCTGGTCCTTGATTTGTATTACTAGCGGGGTTGCTAACGGGGTTTCCCAGTGCTGGAACAGTCTCTGAACACCAAATCTAAAGGGGGGAACCTGCTGTCTTGTTTTGATCACAACAGTGAGCAATTAATATTTAAAATGTTATTTTTGTCTGATTTTTTGGGCAGTTTTTGCAGCCTACGTGTTGAACTCAAGAATCGACAGACAGACTTGTTCCATATGGATAATGAATTTGCATTTTTATTTCCATATTTCTGTGTTGCAGTCAGCTCTGCAGCTGCGAGCTGATGAAACCATTTATAATACAATGTGAACCCTGAGCAATATATAGGACTTAACTATTGCTAGCCCTTTTTTCCTATTTCTCCAGGAACATTTTTAAGGCTGTGTGTATCTGTTAATGCTGGCTCCTTCCCTCACTTCCTGCTGCTGTTTGTCTCTTATTTCTCCCTGCCACAGTTTAATTTGTGGCCTGCTGTGACAGGCAGTTTCATCCTGGGCATTTCAGCTCAGGTTTTGACTTGTGTCTCTCATTTAGTGCTTCCTATGCAGCCAGATGCTTTGGAGCAAGTTCAGAAACTGTTAGAGGCAGCTTAAATGTGGGTTAAAAGGAGCTGAGTTTAGCGTGTCAATTCTTTCCTTCTCTCAAAAAAGCTTTAATCTGTTACAAGAATAAAATTATCCAGAAACCATTAGAGCCCAGTATTTCCTCATGGCAGTTCCCTTTATTTTGTTCTAACACAAAATAATTTCTTTTCTTTAGGTTAAATTTGGAACCTGTAACACTCCGAAGCCAAGTTTCTTCGATTTTGAGGGAAAGCAGAAATGGTAAGAGGAAATTCTTGTAATTCCTAGCAAATTGTGACCCAGCTCCTTTTTGTTTCATGACTCCATCTCCTATGTTAACAGCTGTGAATATGACTAGTGGATGTCAGTTCTGAGAATCTGCCCCTGCAGTGGTTTTGAAATCTTGTATTAATACAGAAATATTGTCAGAAAAGCATCATTCTTCCAGTGTGGTTAGAGTTGCTTTGGTGTCATCTGAGTACAGGTCTGAGATGTGAGAGGCAGGTGCCTTTACACCCCCAGAGAGCATGTAGAGGTGTCTGATAACTGTGTGCCACTGATAACTGTGTAAAAGCACATCGTATTTACTGATGTTTTTGTCCTTTCTCCTAGGGAAGCTTGGAAAGCTCTGGGAGACTTCAGTCCTCATCAGGCTATGCAGGAGTACATTGCCACAGTGAAAAAACTGGACCCTAGCTGGAAGCCTCAGGTAGGGAATCTGATAAGACTGTTCAAAAAACAACCAGTATTTATATCTTTGTAAATCTAACAGGGGTTTAGCTTCAAGCAGATTTTAATTGCTATATAGGAAACTTCATTTTTAGCAGATTGAAGTCTAAATTCATTTTTTAAATTCCCCTGTTATTAAGATTGAGGCCTGAAGGGCCATCTTTTTTGGTTGTAATCATCCACATTACAGTGAGCACATGCACAGGGTTGATTTGGCTGTCGTGATCTAATTTATTTTGCTTTTATCAGTTCATGCTGTATTTAGCATGTAAAGATACTTCTTATCCTTTTCTCCTCTTTCTCTTTTCAACTACTGCTTAAATGATGATCAATACAAAGTAATCTTCATAAAAGTAACATGAACTGAATGATCAATTCTGAAAATCTTTCCTTTTTGTTTTGATGCAGCAAATTACCAAATCTGATTATGATTAGGCACTCCACCATAACAATCACATTTGAAGGTCCTGTATGTGTCTTATAGGGCAATTGTACTATCAGTTTAATTAATCTGTCTTTCATCTACCGGGTTTGTGAATGTTTAAGGTTATCTCCCTGTTTATATAGTAGTTATTATATAATTGGAGAGGATTGATCTTTAGAAAAATATTTTCTTTAATTGGAGGTAGAGTGGAGTTGTTTTACTAATGGCAACATGCTGAACCCACGCTATTTCCAGTTTTGAGGTAGGAGTTGGATTGTTCTGTTGATGCAGCCCCTTGGCTGCACAAAATGTTGTGTGATTGCAAACCTTTGAATCAAGAGCTTGATTCTCAGCTGCCATCTGATGCTGTTCGGGGTTTTAGAGTAATTGTCATTTCTTCATTGACTCTTGGTAGGTGGGGTTGATGGTAGTTTTCCAAGGGAAAAATAGCTTTATATGCTGTGTAGTGCGATTACCAAAGCTTAGGCATATGCAGGCTGTCTGAATGACTTCACTTGCATTCTGTGTCTCGGGTTTGTGATTTCCTAGTGCTGAAATCCCTCAAGTCACTGGTTTAAAGAAATACTGTTTTTATTTTTTCCCAAATGCTTCTTGCTGCAGTATTTCAATCGGCATTATCACATTTGCATCGCTATGCATAACTGTTGACTTCTGCAGGCAGCGTTTTTTTTTCCCCTTTTTGTGTGCTCTGTAGTCTCAGTGCAAGGAGCTAAAAGGCCAAGGGAAATTTGCAGAGTGCTGTCTGGTTTATTGTCCGTTCCCCAGCACATGAGTGCCCATTTCTTGTCCTGACTATTTTTCTTTTCCTGTGCTTTGCCTTTGGCTGAGCTTGAGATCCATTGAAGTGGTCTGAGGTATTTATGTTGAAGGAATCTGATGAGCTCCAGAAAGGCCAAAGAGAAGGCTCCATTAGCAGAGAGTGGAATCTAGAAGTTAGCATTAAATTACACATGTCACTCTTTTCTTTAAAGAAATCTGTCACAGTAGGAAGCCCATGCTTCCTACTATATTTTCCTTTTAATTTCACTTTTATGTCACCAAAATTCTGTCAGTTTTCCTGTTCTGTGATCCGTGTCCTCTAATCTGCTGCAGTTTAGCAGATCCTCCTCCCTGGAGCCACGAGAGGGAGCTCTGTTCTTTAAAATGATGGAGATACCTTGGCCAGAGGGTGGCGATAGAATGATAGTTATTTTAAACTTAAAATTTCAAATTGCATTTGCCCTAACTCCTCAGTTCTCCCCGCCCCGTGCCCTCAAAATAAAAATAATAATAATAAAAAAAAGCAGAAACCCTAGTAGATTGAATGCTGTTCTGCAGACTTCAGATTGACAGTATTTTTGTTAATAAATGGCATGAAACTAAATGCAATCCCCATAGATCTAGTTCTTCATTCTCTTTTCTTCATTCTTTATTGATTGAATCCTTTATGTTCACTTTACAGTTTCTGTATTAGCACACTTTGACCATCAGACTGTAATTACTATAATTTAGCAGTCTTGCTTTGCTTCTTCCAGCTGAAAAATAAAGCAGATATCTTCTGATAGAATAGGAGCATCATGAAAGGAACACTCAGAAGCACCAAGAACAGCAGTGACAGCCAAAATCTCATGTTCTTCCTCCTGCTCTGGCCTGCAGGCTGGAACACCTCAACTTTCTTGGCAGAGAGCTGAACTGGAGAAGCAGTGGCCATGGCTATTCCCTGCTCTCTGGTGCTCAAATGCTGCTTTTGACAGTAGCACATATTCTTGTTTCCATCACATTTAATTTGACATCTCTAGCCACTAGCAGGCTGTCTGATATGGTCAAGCCTACTTTTTCCTTTCAGGACTCTGAGACCTGGATCATATTGCATTTATTTTCAGCAATTCTGTTTGCTGGGATATCTTTAAAATAGCAGGTAACCTGAAAAATATTGAAGTGACATCAGCTATGACAACTGCTGCCTGCTATAGATCATTTGCATTCAGACCTTGTTGTGTTGGTATGGCTTTGTGATGCTTTGGTCCTTCTCCCCAGAACAGCTGCCTAGAGCATTGGAACTAAACTCTTCCATGCTTTCTCCATTCTCCTCCTGATGCCATGTTCCTTGCCATCTTCTACCTTTAAGCACATCTTTTGTCTCTTGCTCTTTCCTCGTGAGTCATGCCTTTTAGTCTCAAGTTCCAGTCAGAAGAAAGGTAATTGCTTGGACCAGCTCAGCTCTATTTACATATTTCAGAGACATCACCCGTCCTTCAAGTCTACTCACTCTTCCCCCCAGAACAGAGAATAATTTATGAAGCAATTCCTTTGTGTTCTCTCCTTGTAAATAGAAACACTTCCTGCCGTCAGCAGGGCTGCTTGGGTCCTTTGGAGTGTGTGCGTGTGTCCTGGCTGCTGCTTGGCTCCTACCTGCCTTTGTCCTGCTTTACTGGCACCAAATGGTGCTTCAAACATGTTGCTTTCTGAGGCTTTTTCTGGTGTGCATCTGAATTTGGCCATGATACTCATCTGTTGCCCCTGCCAGCCACCTAGAGACTATTTATTGTCTATGTGCATTTATTTGGTGAGACCTTCTCTCTCTCTCACCCTGGATCTGCAGTAGCCGTTGTTATTTTATAGTGTTGGCGCTGTTTTTGAGTTAGTCCCATTTACCAAGCTTTTCAAACCTCAAATTGGCATGTGAATCTGCTGTGTCCACAGGCACTGATTGCTCAGAGACAGGAGCAGGGGAGGGTCTCTGTGTCGGCAGCACCGTACAGATATCCTGGACTGAGTTCATTTCGTGGGGTGCTGGGTAGAGGTGTGTACATGGTGCTGCAGGGAGCTATTGGGTGTTTCTTCTAATAAGATTATGATATGGCACAGTTTAAACAATAAAAATAAATAATAAACAAGCATCCAGGTTTGCTCGTCGGTTTTAGCCTTCCATTTGCTGATTACGATTTTGGCATCTCTTCATGCAAAATATTTCCTTTTGCTATCTCTTACATTGCACATTTACCAGTTCCAGTCACAGCAACGTGTCACCCTGCTAACTTCAGTGACATCCATCCCCAAGCCCTCGCAGAGGTCGCCTTCCTATCTGCTTTGCTGAAATTCACAGGAGGGCTTGAGGCTTTTCTCCCTGTAGAAAATAAATGGTGCTTTAACCCCTGCTTGTGAATAGGCTTTCCTAGTAAAGCGAGATTTCTGCTGCGTAGCAAGGAAGTTCCGTCTGTCTTGGGAATCAGACACGTTTCTAAGGTAAAGAGCTGGAGTTCAAGGGAAATGGACCTTCACCATGCCACCTCCCTAAGGTCTTGCGAGTTTGAAATACCCCTGCTAACATTTGCAGCCAAGTGGCCTTGTGTTTTCCAGTTACTGCCCTACCTTGTCTGCAGGCTCGGCGCAGCCCCCGAAAATGGAAACACCGCAGGAATAAAGCGGATTCCTGGGGCAGGTGTCTGTGATTTTGCTGCAGGTTCTGCAGGGGGCAATGTTTGCCAAGGTGCTGTCCTGCTCGGGAGCACAGGGCTGCGCCGAGTCCCTGCCCTTGCAGCCGCTCATCAAATAACCTTTCTCTGTCACGTTTTAAACACAAGCAGCATGTTTGGAGAAGCTAAAAGGTGTGAGAAGGGTTTTGCTCTTTGAGGGCACAGCAATAGGCAGGAGAAGCAATTTTGAGATTTGCCAAGTGGTTTGTGAGTGTATTTGTTTTTAAGTTGCATCAGGTGTTATTAAAATACTTAAATATTTGACTTAAATTGGTGGGCATCTTAAATATAAGTCATGCCTCCAAGCTGACTTAGAATTTCTATATTAAATCAAATGCAAGCTCTGTATCCAAATGTGTCAAAATTGAATTCAGAACCTGGTATTTTTTTCTTAAATTTGGACTCTGCGCTCAGATTTTGCCTGTTGATACCTGGCTGGAGCAATAAGCTTTGCTCCTTTGCAGCTGATCATTAGATCAGCTTCTAAGAATTACTGTAGCAGACAGGTAAATCACCCTGCAGTTTTAGGCCTAAATCTGCAGATTTCCTGGTTAGGATCCCAGGCAGACAGACAGAATTCCTTCTGGAATTTAAGAATTGCATTGGGAAAGCCTGTGGTCTGTAAACAAAATGAGAGCACCCATCGTGTTTTCCTGTTTTGTCTATCAGTCAAACAGATGTCTCCTCGATAATCTGTCCGAGCAACCACTGTTTGTGCTCGGGAAGGAGAAGCCGAGTGGTGCGGGCAGGATTACGAGGGGGATGGGAAGAGCCCAGCGGGAAGAGGGAAGAGCTGCTGGGCTCTCTGCCGCTCGCGATCCGCAGGGATTTGACGTGGCTCCTGGGTGCTTAATTTTGATAAAGGTCTCTGTTTATGGCTCGCTGAGCTCGGAGGTGCAAAACTGAAAATAGTGAAATTGTTTGTTTTTTACTAAAAAAAAATGATTTAATTGTAGTGTGCAAAGCATGCGCTGGTGGAATTACAGCCTGAGGGGGAGAGGAATTGTGTGTATTGCCCTGAGCTGTCCAGCAGTGCTGTCCACTTGCTGCTTTCCCCTTTGCCTTTCTTTTGTATACGTC